TATTATTAATATTTTATTATTATAATAATTATTTCCAGATAATAGAAAACTTTAAATCTTCCTAAACTAGAAGAAACTTAAACTATTTGTTATAGACAATCTGGTGACATAATCATCAATACATGATTATTTTAAATCTTAAAAGTTTACAATAGTTGATGTGGAGCGTTTTGTTTTTCAATCCATTTATCAACAGTAAGGAAGCACTTTCTCTTTCAGGGAGCTCCACATTGCTAACTCAAATGACACACCACTCTGGTGGTTCAAGTCCACTTATTAGGTTCAAGTCCATTTATTAGAACAAAATATTAATAGCATAAGTTATTTAAAGTTAGTAATGAAAATATGAGGGAGCACTGGTGGCCTAGTGGCAAGAAGCTGCATTGCAAGTCTCTCGGGGGGTTAGGTCTTACTTAGTTGGTTCCGATTTTACAGTAATGAGTGGAGCTTTTCTTTTAGGTAAAACTATCAGCAGTGACTCTTACCCTAGCAAACAGGAACACAAATACACCAGTTCCACCTATCTCGTGCAGAACACTCTGGATGGTTTTATACTCTGTAGGCCGGAGACTCTTCAGATGAGGAGCCTCCAGGGAGATGCTCTGGACTTCCTTGGCGCTGAAGGGTCTTTGGGAGAGCTGAGCTTTCACCTGGCCTTTCAGCCTGATGACTGGTTCGTAGATGGTGTACAGAGCAGGCTGGTCAGAGGTATACACTACTGAAAGGCTTTCCTGAAACACAGATATTTCTCCTCAGTAAATAAAGCAAGCTCAAAAAGTGAGCAAATAAATATTTCAAAGTGAAGAGTCACCCAAATAATAATTTTATTTGGTTTTAAAAGACAATTCCAACAAAGGAAAAGATCAATTTCATTTACCAGAGACAAGCAGTGTAACCCCATCAACACTCAGAAGGATTCTGATTACAGAATCTATAAAGAATGAGATTCTATTTACCATGCTACTTAGAATAGTAAATTCCTTTACACTGTGCTTTGACTGAAAGCTTAGAGAGCAGACTGGCATTTCATTTAACCATGTACATGTATGTTGCTTTATGGCATTGGTTACAACTCCCCAAATGTATCACCACTCTTCCTTAGTGGGCCCTTCCTCCATTCATCCCTCCCTCCTCTCCCTACGCAGCTTCTCCATTTCATCCTGTGAGATGATGTTAACGGCTAATTCTTCATCACACTCATTACACAGCAGCCATTGCTCCAAGTACGTCTTAAGTATTAACCAATCTTTATCATAACCTATGAGAAAGGCATCTACTCATCAATTTATCCAATATTTTTGCTTTGGCTTTTCTTATAGGTTGGTTACTCATATAAACGCAACCCTAAGCCATACCTTTCTTTCTACTGGAGTAAGATTTCAGACTTACAGTAAAATTAAGCAGCACTTGTCCCTGTAGAGGGTGTTCCCAATCAGCCCTGGGTCACTGTTAGGCTTCTACGAACAACTTAAAAAATGAAGGTTGACATTTAAACAAAGATGGACTTGAGGCAATCTAAGCAGCAGTAACTGGAGCTCAGGTTGTAGGAAATCAGACTGTCCACCATTCACACCTTTTCTCAGAGCCATGGGGGCCCCAGGCATACCAAGTATGATTAGGGTGGAGAAAATATTTCAACCATGCAGTGGCTTTCATCAGAGAGCTGACAAAACACCTATCAATCTGAACAAATTTTGCCCAAGCCCTAGGTGCTGAGATGAGGACCCTTCTTCCTCACTGTACCTGAATGGCCTCAGAGAACCTAACTGTCCAACTAGGGGAAAGATCTTATTTTCTAATACAGTTTTGGGAAAAAACCCTCCATTTTATTTTAACTTGTGATAATTTCTACTGACATTTATAACTTTATGACCTATAATATTTTTAGGTAAAATTAAAGAAATTTTGTTTTGTTTTTTCATAAAAATGTGTCCCTTATTAACAATCAACCTTACAAAATCAAAAGGGCTATATGTGCCCAGGAATAAAGACCCAAAGGCAGGAAGAGGTAGGAAAGTAGGATGAATGGAAATGATAAACACAGGGAGGAGTGGGCAGAGTGCTGTCTTTTGGTATTATAATCAATGGTATGAAACAAAGTTTGCATGAACTGTTGAATGAAAACAAATTTGGGTGAAAAGCTCATGGATATCACAATGAAAATTTTAACAAGTAAAAAACAAATGAACTTGTCATTCACAAGCAAGAAAATGGAAACAGCCCAAATATCTATCAACGAACAAATAGATTGGGAAATTGTGGTGTATTCACACGATGGAATACTATGCAGCACTCAGAAGCAGTGATTTTGTAAAATGCGATTTTCTCAGGTAACAGAATTAGCCATCAACTGAAAAATTTCTGGTTGGTACATAATAAAGAATAGATTTTCCAAGAGTAGAGTACAGAAAGGTAAACTTATTATTATGAGTGAAAAAAAATCTGTATTTATTTATTAGTCTGGAAAAGAAATGTCATGAACACTATTTTATGAGTATGATAGTGACTACCAACTTAATATATTTTCACTGTATTATAAACATATTTTCTGAATGATTAAGAGGTACAACTGAACAAAATAATTAATACAGATAAACATTCAAGAAAACAGAGAAATTTTAAATGGTAACATTTAAACCTAAAAAAATTTTAAAAGGAGGTAAAAAATGCTCCAATATTTTCAGGGGAAAGGATGTTCTAAGAAAAGAAAATGTTAAAAGAATAAAATAGGGAAACTTTAGGAGCACAGCTAATTCCATTTCAATAAATACATACACATATAAGTCAGTATAAAGCTATAAAATCAGAACTTACAATTAAGAGACCAACATCCACCTCTTTCTTGGTCATAAAAAGTTCTCTGATTTGTTCACAGCATAAAATTTCTTTACTGATATATTTGGAGTAGTCATTTAATGTCTGGCCATATTTACAAGGCATGACAGACGTATGGTCGGGCCCACAAGCATATAGATAAAAGGCCTCTTGTGAACCAATCTTAGCCCCTGAATAGGAGAAAAATCAAGTTAGTTATGCAAAACACTCCAGCTAGAATTTTCATAAAAAGTAAGAAATCAAAGTAATTTTTTTTGCCAGTCTTCAAGTTGTCCCCTATATCTTATAAAATTGATAAAAGTTTCAATCTCCACATCTGTGGAATAAAAATATAACCTATGCTAACTTTGATAAAATACAAATATATAAAGTTACTATAAATCTCTTGATAATATAAATTCACTAAAAGTTCTCTTTGCTTCTTAAGAAGAAAAATGGGTATTTCCTTTCATTCTTACATAGTGTTTGGAGTAGACAGATACAGTATTTTGCTAAATTCTATTTTAAAATATTATTTGAACTGATATCTTTGTTCCTTCCACTCAACTATTCCTCTATGCAATAAATGCTGTCCAAACAGTATTCAATTTCAGTGACATACAACAGAAATAATGTACATCTTTTTCACCCTAGAATTTGGTATTTGTATAGGATATACTGAGATATTATCATTTTATACTCTATTTTCCAGGACTGCAAAATATTGTTGACACACAATTCTCTCTTCTGTTTAGTGGGAAGACAGAGTGGACATACACTTCCACACAGAACATACTCATCAATTTTAAGAGATACGTGGATTACAGAAATGTGAAGTATTTCTAAAAAGTCGATCTTAATCTAGGAAATACCAAAATTAAAAGCCAAACCCAATGGTCACTGGTGTTATTTCATAGGGAGCTTTGGTGGTTTAGTGGTAAGGAATTGTTTTGTCAATGCAAAGGTATGTGGTTCAAACCCACCAGCTGCTCTACAGGAGAAAAGGTGGGTGATCTCCTCTCATGTGATTTACTGCCTCTGAAAACCTGCTGGAGGGTCATTTCTGACTTGATTACACAACAACCTGTGACCTCACTGGACCAAGACCAAGTAGAATTGCTCTGCAGGGTTTTTGAGACTGTAAATCTTTCTGTGCGTAGATTCCTTCAACTTTCTCCTGCAGAATGGCCGGTGGAACTGCACTTTGATTTAGTAGCCCAGCCTTTAACCTACTACTGTTGGTGGTGTGGTTATTGTTGTTGTTAAGGCGCTCTAACAGCCTAGTGGTAAGAAGCTGTGCTGCAATCCTAAAGGCAGGCACTTGAAACATCTCAAGGGGTGACATACCATTGAAGAGGAGCAAATTTCCCAGGTCCCATTTTCCAGACAACTGCAAGCACTCTTCTTGGGATGAGCAACAATGGCCAATCATGCAAAACGTTTTATTACTATCAGATGACAAACTTGTTTTCCTTGGAAGTATATGATCCAAAGTAACATCAGGCTTCCTATGTCAAGAACAAAACCAAACCGATCACTTTAGTGCTAACACTAGTTGTTTTTAAAAAGTCAGAATATTGAGCACTGGGCAACTCATGAGCACTTCCTGGTTCAAAGTCAGGTGTCTGCAGCGATGAGGAGGCTGCTTGTGGGCTCTCTGGGTCAGAGGAGCCAGAGGACCCCAAAGCTGGCCAGAGCCGGGGTGAGTAGACAGGTGTTGCAAATGCACATTCCGTGTTTACTGATACAAACCACGCATGTCTTCCTAATTTCTACCAACCAGTCTCCCATTTTGGCAAACAATTCTAGAGTGCTGATGCCTGAGGGAACTCCTAGTGGCCTAGAGGGTAAAGAGGCGCACTGCCAACACAAAAGGCATATAATTTGAATCAGCTGCTCTGCAGGAGAAGGATGGAAAATCTCCTCTTGTGTGATTTACAGTCTCTGAAAACCCGCTGGAGGGTCAGCAGGGAGTCAGTGTCTACTTTACAGCAATGAACTGAGCTGAACTGAAAGCATGAAAAAGTCTAAATAAAATCCATGAATAATAGGAACCTTAGAATGTGCTGGCACAGTTTGCCCTCAAGGTGAAATTCTTCTTTGCTAGATGTTTATTTAAAATCTGACTTTGAGGATCTCTAATATCTAACATATAAGTAGCTACATTGTTATAAAGGTCTTTCAGTAAAGGAATTTCTTTTTTTTTATTTTGTGGTCAGAAGTCTTCATTATGTTTTTTTCTTTTATTATTATTATTAATTTTAATGACAATTTACAGAGACTTTAGATTTCCATTCATTCATTGTTGCACAAGGAATATCTTTAGTAATAATGGAAGGTACCATTTATAACATGAATGTCTATGAACCACAGATAGCTACAACTGAAACACTACTGCCATCTATTGGCAGGTGTGACTTACTGTAATTTTTTTTTTTAAGGGTAAAAGAAACTATTGTTACACATAAAATGCCTAACCTGCTGACCCCTGCCATGCCCTGGATTCTGACTCAGTGAATCCATCCGGTTTCTCAGGCTGTCCATCTTTACAGGAGGTGACTCCCATCTTTCTCCTTCATAAAATGTCTGGATTCAAACTGCCAACCTTGGGGTTAGCAGTGTGACGTGTAATGTGATACGGCCCCTGGGACCCTAATTAAATATGGACAGGGTGGCTGCACTGATGGGCTGGGGCCAGCAGAGATCATGAGGGTAGTACTTGGGGCCGGTAGAGTCTCCCTCTCTTGTCCACCGGGTGGCTACAACTGGTGCTGACTTGATGGTCCCCGGCAGTGGTACATGGGCCAGACAAGGAGCTCTGGTGCTAGAGTGTATAATTTGTTGTGCTGTTAAATGAAAGGTTAGCAGTTTGAATGCACCCGCTGTTCTGCAGGAGAAGGCTGGCCAGTCTCCTTCTGTAAAGATGCACGGCATTAGAAACCTGATGGAAGGTCACTAGGATTCAGAATGGATTCAAGGACAGCACAGTGGGATGGGCCAAACAGGAACCCTGTCGGCATAGTCTGCAAACACGCCAGTCTGCTAACTGGAAGGAAGGCCAATGGCTGGAATCCATCAGTTTCTCCAGCAGAGAAAGGTATTCTCCTCCCTCAAAGCTTTAGAGTCTTGGGGAACCCTATAAAGGGTCATTATTAGTCATAATGGACTGGCAAGCAGTGGGTCTGATTCAGTTTTTATGGACCAATTAAGCACTTAGCTACTAAAAGGTAATAGCCAGGCACTGTGATCTCACAAAGTACATCATGGGGAAAATACACGGCAATTTAGTTTTGTAAATACTTCCAGCTGGGATACCTGTGGTCAGTTCTACTCTGTTCTATAGGATCAGAATAAACTCAGCACACCACCACCACATGAAGTAAATATTTCTGCCATATTGGGATGTGGTTCATCAAACACCCGTTAGGAGGAAACACTAAGTAAGCTCGAATCCACCAGATGAAAGATGGGCAATCTCCTCCAGTGCCAGTCAGACCTGACTCGATGGTATAAAAGAAGGGGGGGAAAGAAAAGAATTATTTGTGAATTCATTTATTATATGGGCTTGAAGAAGCAAATCATAGATCCCATCACTTGACTGGATATATAGACTATATAAAAATGCCTAACTGGCCAGGTTTCTTCATGTTTCCTCAAATCCAAAATAGTAATTTTTGTCAATTACTTCAAAGGAAAATGAATTTGGAATAGAAGTGATTACAAGGAAAATTCTGACAGAAATTCCTTGCTTAATATACGTGGTGTCAATGGTTTATTGTTCAAAATGGCTTTCCGATCCATTGATTGACTTCTGACTTTGCCACATGGATGGGCAGGGGCCTATGAATGGGACATGTTAGGCTACCCATAAGAGAACTCGCTAGACTTGCCATTAAGTTAAGGTGATTCAGTGAAAGAACTTGGGAATCTCACCTCTAGCAAAGAAACAGAGGATGCAGTGTATACCCTTGGGGTCAAAGATTCCTGCACCACTCAGACTGAGGCCTAAAGGAGCCATAGCAGAGAAGCAGAGACCCACCATGAGCCAGAGCTGATCTGGGACTGCTGAGCCATGCAAGCAGAGCTACAAGCCTTTGCTCAGGCTTCTTGGAGGACTTAGGGGGGACACCATAATTGGCATGACTTGGAGAGTTTTCTAACACTGGCTAAAGCTGCAAGATGAAAGCTGAAGAGCCTGCAGGCACACTTCAAAAGTTTCCTGAGAGATTGCATCCTGCTGCCAAAGTGAATTACAACCTGTTAACTTTCCTAATAAATCCTATAATCATGAGTATGTTTCTGTGAAGTCTGCGTAGCTATTCTATTACAATGGATTTTGGATCCAGTAGGCAGTAGGACTGGTGCTGGATTTGGTAAAAACAGGTGCAGGAGTTTTGGGTAGAGGGAAGCCATATCTGACCTCATGGGAATTGGTTTTGTGTTGGAGTCAGTAGGCATCTGACTCGGCTGTCTCCAGGCCGCCCTTGCTCTTTTTACAACATGGTAAACATACAGAAAATGTACAATATCCTGTAACCTGTTTAAAAAATGGTAAGAGACTGAACTTGAAATTGTGGTGGAGGTTCACATTTCCGTGTGGGAAGTTCCGTACCTCTGTCCAGAGACCCACATGGACACCTTTCCTTGGACGTTCTTTTTCCCTTGGGGCTGCTGGAAGTAGGTGAGTACTAAATGCTGCCATTTGCTTGGCAGGAAAATATTCTCCTGTGATTCAGCCTGTGCCAGTAAAACAGCCTTCGTGTTGTCGTTTGAATCCATGCACACACTACATGAGAATACAAAAGGCATATAGGGTGTCAAGAGGAAAGTCCTGACATCAGCATTATTACCTCACATCATCAACTAAAATACATTAGGCCTGTTTGCTGGCATTAATAATTTAGGATTCTGTCAGCAAAATGAGAAAAATTCTACATCTATTTAGTCAGTGCTTTTTAAAAATGACAATGTAATTAATATTTCATTCATAGCAAATAAAGTTAAAACATAATGTATTTAGTTAACCAAATGCTAGGATATGTTAGTGGCCTCAACATTAAGGAAATATTAAGATAATTAGGAGGTATTTATTACATAAAGGACTTAGTAAAGTTTATAAAACATAAATCTTTAAACCAGATAGTCTTTAGTTTTAAATTTTATAGAAACAGTATACTTTGCATAAGTATACACAAGAACTATTTCTCCTTGTTTTCAAATTAGGTAATTTTTAGTCAATAAACATAAAAAGCATACTGGTGCAATGGCTAAAACACTGGTTAACTAAAAAGTCAGTTCAGACTCACTGGTCACTCCTGTTTCCCTAATACTCACAGCCTTGGAAACTCAGAGGGCAATTCCACCCTGACTTATGGGTCACTACAAGCCAGAATCCACTAGACAGCAGTGAGTTTAGGTTTTGGGCTTACTGAATACAAAATTGGCACAGGAAAGATGTCCAATCAATACCATCTTAAGACCACTGCAATCTCATAGAATACTTCCACAGAGGAAGTAATCAATACTTTTGTGTAAAAATCTAATTGAGAACATCACCTATGAGAATATTCCATTGTAGATTTTTTAATATTACAAAAAACAGTTGTTAACATGTATCTTTTTCTCTCTTGCTAAAATGATCTGTGCTGGAGAAGAGTATTGAGAGTACCATGGACTGCTAGGAAAACAAACAGATTGATACTAAAATGGGTTAAACTGCGTGGCTACTTGGAGGCAAGGATTCTGAGGCTCCGTCTAACATACTTTGGACATGTTGTGAGGAGAGACCGGTCCTTGGAGAAGGACGTCATGCTTGGGAGGGTGGAGGCACAGCGCAGGAGAGGAAGGCCCTCTATGAGGTGGATCGATTCAGTGGTTGGGGTAATTGGGATGGGAGTGTCTGAGACAGTGTGATTAGCACAGGATAGAGTAGAGTTTAGGGCTGTTGTACATAGGGTCGCTATGAGTCGCAAGCGACTCGACGGCACATAACAACAACAACAACAACAACAATGATCTTTAATAGCATATTTCACATCCATGTCTTTGTCACAGTGATCTGAGCACATAATCTATCTCAGGGATGAGAATGTTAATACCGGAAGATCAAGGTGCCGCTGTGGGGAGCAGCCCACACTTGGATCATCAGTGCTTTGGACCCCAGCGCCAGCAAATGGACACAGCCATCTTCTAGGAGCCTGTCCCCTGGATCTGTGTCCTCTGCACTGTCCAGCCTGCTGCTTTCTAGGATAAAAGGATGTCAGAATGGTAAGAGAGTTCTTAACAGCTGAGTGAACAAGTGAATTAAAAGACTACAAAGCATGGCTGTTCATCTGTAGCAAAAATTTATCTAGAAGGTATAAAATTGACCTGTTCCAAATCAACAGTATCTCCAAAGTTTTGATGGCAACCCCAAAAAGCACAAGGGTTTATATACCTAGAGTCACTCTAATGCAACAACGGGTCTGGGGTAGAGGTACAGTGCCATCTCGACATGTGATATGCCAATGGAGAAAAGGGGGACCCCACCCATCCCCCTCCCACCAAAATGGCAAATGTGGCAAAGGAGTCAGAGTTTGTAAGGCTGGCTGACCACTCAGGCTGAGCACTAAGTGGAGGTAAAGAGCACATGAGCCGGAAGTTGGGCTTTCACCGCACTCTTATGACTCAATAGACAGCACCTGTGAAAGGTCAGGGGACTGAGGCAGACCTGCTTCGTCATAACCATTGTCCCATGCAGTCACTGGCTTGCTTCTTTTCTTCGTCTTCCTTTCTCTTCCCATGGGACACTGGGTCTCAGGGACGCACTCCACGTTAAACCACAAGGACACGCTGAAGCCATCTGCCAGGTGTGGCCAGCAGTTTTGTCCCAGCAACGGCAAGTGGACAGGTGCCACGTGCCAGGAGGAAAGCATCTGGTGGGCGACACTGTCACCATCAGGGTCCCTCCTGCTCCGGGACATCCGAGCTCTCCTCAACAATCCCATGGCCTTGCTGCTCAGAATTCCAGCACACTTCTGTGACAACACCCCACCACTTCCATTTGGGGTGTGGAGCAAGGGGAAGCTTAGGTACTGGGAAGGGCTCATAGACATATCGGTCTCAACAATTTTCAGAATGCCCAGGAGAAGAATTTCCTAGATAAAGAGAAACAAACAATAAAATCATTCTATAAGTTACATCAGAACCTTGAATTCAGGTTACAAATGAAAACAGAAACCCCATCCTCCACATTATTAGCATTCTTGTTTAAATATTTCACTATCTGGTATATCAATTGCCATTTAATTTGTATATTTTCAAACTCACTGCTATACCTGACCTGTCCTGGGGTTTTCTGAGGCTCTAAGTTGTATGGCAGCACATTGCCTGTTTCCTCTGTAGAGCCGCCAGTGAACTGGAAGGGCTGGACTGACTCCTTACCTACTAGGCCACCACAGCTCCCTGATCTCGCAAAGTCAATATAAAAAAGTGAAACAGGCATTATGTTTACAACAACAAAAAATCTCACATGGCTCCATCACTTGATTTGTTTTTTAAATTGCTTAGTATAATTAATTACAATATGTCTAATCAAACTTTTACTGTATCTTCCCTTTCCTTTCACCCAACTTCTCTACTACTTCATTTTTGCTCCCTTCTCCCTCCTTACTCACTCCTGTTAACTATCCAAGAGTGATGTAAATTCACATTCAAATGTTTTGGCGACTGAAAAAATGGAGAATTTAAGAGTTGGCTTTTAAAGAATAAACATTTTAAAGTCAGCAAACAAACAAAAAAAAAACCAACCAAAAACAAAACAAAACAGAGTTAGTTTTAAGTAGCATAAACTATAACAATTTTGTCAAGAATAATTTATACCAAAGAAAGATGTGAAGTTCAAAGTATATAGTTTTTATCTTTATTATTTTTTAATAAAAGATCTATTCAGAAATCTTATATATGCTCCAAAATTAAATAAGGTCTTTTAAATTTTTAAGAGTTTTCGGTTAAAATGTAATGTAGACTGTCTGGAAAAGCAAAGAGAAGAAATTGCTAGATAATATGAATTAAGACACAAGAAAGTAAAAAGATGAACTTGGACTGCAATGCCAGACTCTTGTATAGGAGGACATAGGATTTGCTGGATTTAGCTAACAATGAGCTGTGGGCTAGAAGTCTCTTGTTTAGAGCCAATCAGGGCCTGGTGCATGGGCCTGGGTATTTAAAAGTTGGCTGAGTCTCAACTGAGTCTTCAGTTTGGAGGCTCATGTGTGAAGCCACTGGATTCTGAAAGGAGGGTTCTTCTTGTTTTTGGATGAGGGTTGGGTGTGCACTATTTGATTATTTTCATTTCACTCACAACCATGTGTAAGCTGATTGGATTTGTTGGTTTTCTGTAACAATGAGCTGTGGGCCGGAAGCCTCTTTTTAGAGCCAGTCAGGGCATGGTGTTAATTGTGTTTGGCATGAACATTCTTCTAAGTGGTCCAGCACTGGTCTGTCAATTTGCTGTACTGGGGTTGTACAGGGGTTGCTGTGATACTGAATGTGGTGCCAATGAAGTGTCAAATGCCATAACGGATACCCATGGCAGACAGTGTTGGTGGAGCTCCCAGATTAAAACAGGATTAGAAGCAGGAAGGGCATCCGCTTCCTAAACAACATGCCCCTGGAAACTCTATGAACTTAGAGAAACGACAATAGTCATAGAATATGGTTCAGGTCTTTTGTTCATAGGGTTGCTATGAGTTGTGCTCGAATCAATGGCACTTAAAAACAACAACAACTTAATAATGAGATGAAGGGTGATGATGGGAAAAGAATCGGTGCATTTGAGTCAGAGTGCTGAATATACTATGGACTGCCAAAAGAACAGGCATGTCTTGGAGAAAGTGCAACCAGAGTGTTCTGTGGAGGCAAAAATGGTGAAGCTTTGTCTCACATATTTTGGACACATTAGGAGAGGCTTGGAAAAGGCCATCACACTTAGAAAGGTGAAGGGATGGAGAGGGGATTGACATGGTGACTGCAGCAATGGGCTCAAGTGTGTAGGAGATGGTGAAGATGGTGCAGGATAGGACAGGGCCGGGGTTCAGATCTGTTGTTGGTGGGATTGTTGTAGGTCATACTGACTAAATGGCACCAAACAACAACAACATAAGAAATACACTCAGAAAACATGAGAGATATTCCATCAGTATCAGCCCATTCTTTAATACCCCTTCCTCCCAGTGATTCTTCCACAATGTTCTCTCACTTGGCATGGCTGGGCTGGGCTGGGGTGGGGAGTACACTGGGTAGGTTCTGGGGCATCCGGTCCTACTGTAAACAAGTTTAGCTCCAAGGTCTCCTCATCTTATTTGCATATGGGTTCTGTTAAGGTTGCATTACGAAAACGTGCTCCTCAGCAAAGGACATATGAGAAGCCCCCAGCACATGACATTCTGCTTTTCTGTGGGCTCAATTTCTGCCGGTTCACCTCATGGAGGAGCTTGCAAGTTGCTCTGGGGCCGAGCAGATTTCAGCCCAAGATCTACGAAGAAGGCTAGTCCATCCACTTCTCATAGTCAGTCAACAAAGACCTTGGCAGGACAAGGGTCTGAAGGGCAATCAAGCATGGGCACAGTGCAGTGCTGAGCAGCTCATTCTGTTGTGTGTGGGACCTTCATGTGCCAAGGCAGTTTGACACATTAATGGCAGCTAATAACATTAACAACACTCTACCAACAGAGCTGAGTAGAAAGTCATTGAAAAATAGAGAGGAACTCTTTGAAGGAAAATTCCCCAAATGATTATAACTACTCATAATTAAGCTCTCCTTAGCAATGAAATTATTTTGTGTGAGGGTGAGTTGGGATCATAATGACTATGATTTTTCATGACAGATATAATTAGCCAAACCAGAAGTGAAGAGGGGTTAAAATATATGCAACTAGTAACAAAATCAAGAACTTCACATATAAAAGCATGGAATTGATTGTATGACAATTATTAAGAAAAAAACTGGGGGGAAAAAATCAGTTGGTGAAAATTCAAAAGGAGATAGCCTTTCTCCAGGAACTGGAAGATCTGAAATTGGGTATTTAAAGAGTCACAGAAAGGAAATTGGTTACCAGAAGCTTCGTCTGACATACTTTGAACATGTTACAAGGAGGGACCAGTCCTTGGAGAGGGACATTACTCTTGGGAGGGTGGAGGGACAGTGCAGGATAGGAAGACCCTCTACGAGGTGGATGGATTCTGTGATGTAATGGGGGTGAAGCATTGGGGGGGGTTGGAGATAGTGAGCCTGGCACAAGATAGAGCAGGGTTTAGGAGTGTTGTACACAGGGTCGCCATGAGTCACAGGTGACTCGACAGCACATAACAACATCATCAACAACAACATCTTTTTACTCACATCTTACACAGGATAGCTTTGTGCCCATGCTTATTGTCTTTTTGTCTTTTTAACAGTGTCTCCAAGGTTCTACATATGAGTGTGATTATTTAATAATGCCTATTAAATTAATTTATCCTATATCATCATGTCAATACATGATACAGAAAAGAGAAATTAATTTTTTGGCTAAGCTTGACAGTTTGAAAGACAAATGCCATTGTTTTTCAGTAGAAAACAGTATTACCAGATAAGTGATTAAAGATATTTTAAATGTAATAATTTTGTTGTTAAGTCCTATCTTAAGAAATACTTTATACCACAACAAGATAAAGGAAAATAATCCAATGGAAAATGGGCACAGAATATGAACAGACACTTCACCAAAGAAGACATTCAGATGGCTAACAAGCACATGAAGAAATGTTCAAAATCCCTAGCTCTAAGAGAGATGCAAATCAAAACAACTATGAGATATCATTTCACCCCAGTCAGAAGAGCAAAATTTAACAGAACAGCAAGCAACAAATGCTGGCGAGGTTGTGGAGAAACTGGAACCCTTATTCACTGTTGGTGGAAGTGTAAAATGGTGCATCCACTGTGGAATGCAGTATGGTGCTTTCCCAAAAAGTTGCAAATAGAGATAACATTTGACCCAGCAACTCCACTACGGGTAATATACCCCCAAAGAGACCATAACTGTAACCCAAGCAGATATATGCACACTTAAGTTTATCGTAGCTTTGTTCACAATAGCAAGGAGTTGGAAACAACCTAAGTGCCCATAAATAAATGAATGGATAGAGAAGCTGTGGTATATTCACACAATGGAATATTACGCTGCATTGGAAAACAAGGAACTCATGCAATATTATTAAAAATGGGTGACCCTGGAGGACATTATGGTGAATGAAGTATCTCAGTCACAAAAGGACAAATACAGCATGGTGCCACTGTTGTAAAACAGGAATGACATCGGGGTTGGGGGGAGACTGAAAAAGATGGGTTTAATAATGTATACTGCATTGAAACAAATGAGGGAGAAACCTGTTTAAAAGGGATATGTGATTAGGTATTTTTATCATGACGGAGTCCAGAACGAAGGCTGCATAGTGGAGTGGACCTGGGGGTAGGGATTGTAAAACAATGAAAGAAATTTTCTTTTACTTTTCCAAGAGGGTAGTGTACTGGGGGGGGGGCGGTTGGGAGGGGAGAAGAGTGCAACAATGAATAAACGGAAATCCAAAGTCTCTGTAAATTTTCATTGAAATTAATAATAAAAAATTTTTAAAAAAGAAATCTTTTATTCATTTACAAGGTCATTATGGGAAGTTTTTAATGTGAATATATAATGTGGCTTTTGCAATTCTAACAATTATTAGATTTTCAAATTTTGAAAGCTTTAACAATCAGATTATACTAAGTATATGAAATTGTTTATTTTCATTGTAGTTTTTTAAATAAAGATTTGTTCATTAATTCTGAGATAGTCTTTTAGAAAAATAAAATTGTAAAACATTTAATTTTGACAATTTAAATAACAAACCTCTATTGATTTAAAAAAAAAACCAAAAACCACACACAACCAAAAAAAACCCCCAAAACCTCAATTGTTACATAAAAAGAGGGCAGTTAGTGAAATCCAGATAATTTAAAAAGACATTGTATTAAGATACCTGTGAAAAAAAATTTAAACAATGGCATACTTACTGTACAAGGAGATTTCTCCAGAAATATTCTCAAAAGAAGTGTTAAATCTTCTGAACACATTCTGGAGCTCATAAAAGATACTAAAAGATCCATCAGGACCTGTTGACACACTAAATGAAAGAAAAACAGAAGGGAAAAATGAGAGTCATATGAAAAAGATCAAATCACAAACCATGGCACATCTTGAATATATTATAAACATCCAAGAATTCCATTTGTTGAAAAATAGCAGTATGACTAAATGTAAACTAAATGAAAAAAGTCAACAACAAAGCTGGTTGTTGTAAAAATTGGGTTTATGCCAAATAAGCTTAAAAAACAAACAAAAAAATCCCACCACCACCAAGAAGACTCAAAACCACTACTATTGAGTAGAGTTTGACAAAGAGCAACATTCCACTAGATTCTCAAGACTATAAACCTTTAGAGAGGAGATTGCCCATCCTTCCCCAACTCCCAAGGGGCAGCTGGTGAATTTGAAATACCAACTTTATGTTTAACAGACCAAACATAAACTGAAACAATATTTTTTTAATGACATAGATAGCTGACTAAATATCGTAGTCTGTTACCTTCTCACCTTGAAAATGCTTAAATGATAACTATAATTTCTTAAATAGAAAATTAGGTAAGAGAATTAAAGTAGAAATATTAAAGATTATGTAAAAACTTAAGTATCATTAACAATTTAGGTTGAACATTTTTCATATCATGAAGTTGAGCATAAAATAGTGGCACATAAATTCATACAACTTTCAACAAAAGAATAAAAACAAATACTTAGAATTAGAGTATCCAAAGTACTTTTCTACGCATTTTCTTAGCTGATATACACAAAACCCCACAAATTAATATTATCACCAATTTAGGAATGAAAAAAATAATGTTGATATAAAACTTGAGATTTATCATGCAGGATGACTGAGTTTCAGAAGAGCTGGAGGTCAGGAGAATTAAGTTATGCTCAAGAATCATACTTTGTAGAAGCAGTGAGTCAATGAAGTAGTATAATAGTCTTTAAAGTCGGAAAGGCAACTTGTGATGAGACTACAAAACAGCATGAACTCACTCTGAGAAGTATTAATTCAGCAAAGAGTTTTAACAAGAAAAATACTGAGATCAAAAGAAAATGTGTGCACATAAATTTTTTTCTATTAAAAACTGGCTTTTGTTCAAAATGGGGAATGGATGTCTAGTATTTGCTTTTGGGTACTAATGGAAATTAATGGAACTAAAAGTACAGACTTAAAAGATAAGAAATCTATAATAGCAAAAAAGAACAGGGGCAGTGAGCAGCTGGGCACAGTGGACCAGAGACTGAAAATATTTTCTGAAGGCAGGAGGGCATATGGACAGACAAGAAAGGGGCTGCCTGGAGCTTCTGACTTAAAAGGAGCTCGGGGAGTGAGGGTTCAATCTGCCATCTGAAAACTGGAGAACCAGCAGGTATTACACAGAAGAATGGACAGCTAGCTCTTCCTTACAGAACAATTCCCACTGATAAATGTGGAAGGAAAGATGAAGCAAGGAAAACCCCCTTAACCCAACAGAAGCCATTCTTATTAACCTCATTATTTAGAAAATTATTTCTATGTCATTATTTAAAATCAACAGTTTCAGCTCACCTTGGAACTCAGAATCAGTCTGAATTAATATATTCAAGAATCCTCCTAACAGATTTTTCACAGTTCCCTGAAAATTAAAAAAAAACAAACACAAACAACCAAAAGATATAATACCTCATGAAAGCATGAAATAATTTTAATAACTTACTTGATAGGTGTCAACTGCATATGCAAATACATAAGTACTGAAAAAAATTACTGGGAAGAATGAATGCTATGTGTAAGATCACCTAATTTTCATTATGTTTTTTCATTTTCTAATTTTTAAAAATAATGAAAAGAGAGGATAAATAATATATACTGCATTGAAACAGATGAGGGAGAGAACTATTTAAAAGGAATATAGGATTAGGTATTATTTTCCTGACAATATTACAGAAAGAGAAATGCATAGTAAAGTAGACTGTGGACTTGGGAGGGGATTGAATCACAATGAGAGAATTTTTTTTCTTTTCAAAGAGTAAAATGAACTGGAGGGAGGAGTGGGCAGGGAGGGAAATACGCAAAAATGAATGAATGGGGGGGAAATTAAATGGAAAGAATATGCTGTAAAAATATGTTGCATTAAAAAATCATTAATCATAAAAAAAGAACAAATCCATTAATATTGTCATTCTAATATATTCCTGAAGAAAAGCAGCATTTAAAAAATTTGCATGTAATTTTAATAATCATTACTATGCTAACAAAGAGGGAGCTTTGGTGGTCTAGTGGCAAAAAGCTGTGCTGCAATCCAGAAGGCACGTGGTTGGAGGCCACCAATTGTTCCACGGGAAAAGTATGGGCAATCTCCTCCCAAGTGATTAACTGCCTCTGGAAACTGCATTAGGGTCAGACAGGAGGCCACTCTGACTCAATGGTACACAACAACAAAACAACATGCTAGAGAATGGAATGAAAAGATTTTGGAATACCATGTAGATTAAAATACATTTATGATATCACAGGAAATCAGTAATCATCTCAAATAATGTTCAGACATGTTGAGGTCTACACAAGGAGATAGAAAGCATATAAATATGATACCAGCCACATGTAATCAGATGCATCTTTTACCTGTTGTATGAGCAGAGAAATATTCTTTTCTTTCTGCCTGATGATTTTCAAAAAACTTTCAAAGACATGGGCAAGTACATCAAGCTTGGCTTTACTAGAGGAAAGCAAATTTAATTCCAGCATACAAATTTCAGGGTATATTATTTCTCCTTGAGTGAGGTTTTCAAGGAAGTAACTTGGACAGCTTAATGCACTGAAGTCCTCTGCCTCGGGCTTTGAGTCTACTCCTGAAAGAGAGAAGTAAAAGCATGGTTTGACTTCCTACTCACAGATTGCTACTGAGTTGAATCCAACCCATGGCAACCCTGCACTGGGTTTCCAAGGTCACAAATCATAATGAGAGGAGACTGTCTCCTTTCTCCCAAGGAGCCTCTAGCTCCTAAGATCTGAACCTTTCACTTAACCATGCAGCACACTATGGTTGATGCCACAAGAGCTTCTTTTTATTTCCAAACACTGAATAAACAGTTCTCATCTATTTAGCAGCTAGGAGATCCAGCGGCAAAAGCACTATTTATGACAATGCTCACAAAACCTTTTTTCCAGAAAGTGACTTTTTCCTATGATGTATATTTTGAATGACCAAGTCTTATGAATAGTCTTGAAGATTAGCGAGTAGCATTAATTTTCATACTCACTAGAACTATAATTATCATCAGTAATGTTTATAGAATCAAGGAATTGTGATGTAGGCTTAACAAATCCTTCCTTCCAACACAACTGGGGGCGGGAGGAAATACCATCTCTAACTTTCTAATCCCCAAATCAGGCATATTGGGTAGTTCAGTTTGCACATATCTTTGAACGCAGGGTTGAATGATGGTTGAATGGAGTCTGTACCTTGCCTTTCTCACAATAAGAACCACGGTCACAATGAATTTGACAATTTTTGAAATATTTTATATCCTCCTAACTCTAGTAGCGTAGTGGGTAAGGCAGCCCACCCAAAGGTAGGTGATTCAAATCTTCAGAGAAGCTGGGTGATGTCCTCTATGATTTATAGCCACTAAGCACTTACTGGAGGGTCAGCTATGAATTGTTTCTACTTAATGACAATGAGCCTGAGCTGAGCCTAAATGAGAGTGTTGGACACTTTGTCTTGATTTTTTTCATATATAACCACCCACTCCTTGCTTATTGACATGATGACATTCCAAAGACAAGGTTTTTAAAAACCAATGTTAAACAAAAATGGAGGATGACCACATCATATCACAAAGTGTGAGAGAGAGAGAGAGAGAGAGAGTGTGTGTGTGTGTGTGTGTGTACATCATTACCATAAATGCCAAATTACATCACTATGTAACTTTCAAACCAATGAGAATCATGGCCCAGCCAGGTAGGCACATCGCCATAACCATCACAGCCTGGGTTGTTCTTGTACTTCGGCAGTTGTTACTGCCAGACATACGTCACCAATGTGCAAAACAGTCAGACGGTGGAGTCTTTACTACTGCTTTAAGTCTAAGATGTCGGACAGCAAGACAGTAAGCAATAGAGTTAAGAAATTTAGCAATTTCTACCTAGGCTAGAATTCTTTAAATTGAGCTCAAGTTAGAAAATTGACAAAAAAGAAATCTATTGCAGAATTTGCAGTGAAGATAAACTACAACAACAATGCAGATGCATTTTCGACACTGGAAGCCCAGGTGGGATTGTAAAACTCCACTAGAGTCATCCTGTAGTGAAGCCATGATATGACTTGTAAATCTGATGAGTGGGGCTGTCAGCATATTTACCGTCATCGTGGCTTTCACTGTCCTCAGGATTGCTTTCACTATCTGCCTCATAACCTTCTTCTTCCACCAAAAGCTTAAAACTGCAGCACTGAGAATCCTCAGCCTCTTCTGAAAAGTCTCCAGGCTCAAAGAATAGTTCCTCTTCAGACTGAGGGCTCTGCAAGATCAACACAATTCAAAAGTGATGCTGTAACACTTACTCATTTATACTAATGGAATATTTGGCACTCAAAAGTGATTTTAAGGATCCCTTCAATATTTCCTTAAAGATACAAATCTTGGTAATCAATATTATCCATTATATATGATGAAATATACTTGGAAAAACTTCACAGAACCCCTCAGACAAATTGATTAACACGTCACAAAAGGAGTTTCTAAAAGATTAAACTAAGGTCATTTACATTTTACTGGGAACAAATATATTTAAGAAATATATATAT